TTGGGGTGTGGTGTCATCAATATGCCGATGACACTCAACTCTACTACTGTCTTGGTCCTAAACAAGTGCCTGTCATCAGTAATGAACTGGATGAGGGCAAACAAGTTGAAACTTATTCCAGATAAGACAGAGGTGCTCCTGGTCAGCTGGAAGGCAGATCAGGGAATAGGGACCCAGCCTGTGTTAGATGGGGTCACACTCCTCCTGAAGATGCAGGTTCGCAGTTTGGAGGCACTCCTGGACTCAGCTTTGAACCTGGAGACCCAGGTCTCTGCAATGACCAGGAGTGCTTTTGTACATTTAAAACTTGTGCACTAACTGTGCCAGTTCCTTGAGATGCCAGATATGGCCTCAGTGGTACATGCCTTTGTTACATCCCATTTAGCTACTGTAATGCACTGTACTTGGGGGTGCCTTTGAAGAGTGTTCAGAAGCTTCAGCTGGTCCAAAGAGCTGCAGCCAGGCTGCTAACAGAGACAGGTTACAGAGATCACACAACACCCCTGTTGAAATACCTCCATTGGCTGCCAATTTGTTTCCAGGCACAATTCAAAGTGCTGGTGATGACCTATAAAGCCCTACATGGCTCAGATCCAGGCTATTTGGCAGACTGTATCTTCCTATGTGAGCCAGCCTGGGTTCTGAGATCCTCAGGGGAGGCCCTTCTCTTCATCCCACCACCATCACAAGCATGGTTGGTGGGGACATGAGAGAGCGCCTTTTCCGTAGCTGCCCCTAGACTCTGGAATTTCCTTCCCAGGGAAACCAGAATGGCCCCTTCCTTGATGGCCTTCTGCTGACAGGTGAAAACCTTCCTCTTCAGACAGGCATTCAAAACAGAAAGCTTTTAAACAATGGCATGGGATGTTATATTATTTTAATGTATTTTAAATATTTTTATCTTCTTAAAGTGTTTGATATTTTAGCATGTAATTTGTTTTAATTATTGTAGTAATTTGATTCTGTTTTAATGTACTATTTTTATATGTTTTAATTGTATTGTTTTTTAATGTTATAAACCACCCTGAGTCCCAGTCCTGGAAGTAGGGCAGAATAAATAAATATAATAATAGTATAATAATTGTTGCTGCTCTTCCTCAGGCAGTAACATAATAATAATAATAATAATAATTTTTATTTAATACCCCGCCCCTCTGAGTGCAATTGGGGCGGCTTACAAGATAAAATCACGACAAACAATTAAGAATAAATTCCTCCCCCTCCCCCCTTTAAGAAATTATTAAACCAATTTCAAGTTAAAAAAGATATAAAAGAGGTAAATTCCTCAATACAACAGCAATACAACAAAAGAAAGTGCAGGCAGTGTGTAAACACTGGCTCATCTGAACCTGATCACATAGGAGGAGGATCTCGGGGAACATGTCTTGATCTATCCTTGGTAAGGGAGTAAAATTAAGGATAGCAAAAGGTGGTTATTGTATCATGGTTCTTGTGCACATATTTTACAGGTTTCTACTTTATGTACTTGTCTGTATGTATGCTGGTATGACTTTAATTACCATAAAATTATTCTGTTCAGAGTCTGGGTGTGTGTGAATACATATAGTGGAAGGCAGCCAAGTTTGTTATGGGAGGGGGTATCAGGAAGTTTTGTTAGGAGAAGGGAGTCTAGCATGAGTTGATACTATTCCTAGGTCAAGAGCCAAGGTCTTGATACAGACAATACTGTAAACAATCCAAAAGTCATAAACCAGTCAAGTATCCAAAATCACTGCAAGAGATTCTGAACATAGCAGAACCAGGCTGTTTGCTCTTTCTAATAACTGGCCAGAGTTTGTGCACTGAAGTCTCTCAGCTCCATTCAGCTTCCCAGCTGTGTTTAGTTAGGATGCTCTCAGATGGGCTTCTCCAAATAAGATCTTGCCTGCAGTCTCATGTTGCATCTGAGGACAGGTTGAGTCAGCTGCTTCTGTCTCCCTGTTTCTTCCAGGGGCTGGATGGTCTTTCCACCTCATGTTGAGAACCAAAGCTGGACCGCCTAACAGAACAGGGACATGGCTGCTCTTTGGGTTTCCTTCCTTTCTGGTCAGTCTGGCTCTTCATCTGATGAAGAGTCTTGGAGGGACTATGACAATATGTCACTGGGCATAGACTGGTTCTGTATGTGTGTTTACAGGAGTCTCATTAGCTTCCCTGATATTTGAAGAAATACAGTAGCTATAGTGTTGAAATACCTTGCAAAGTACTTTGCAAAAACAAGCTTCTTTCCTTCACATGGTTCTGTGTTGCCTCTATGGATGAGGATCACAGCATTAGTTGCTGCTGCTTATTCCTGATTTGAGGTCATAATCCTTTCTTTTCAAACATCTTAATCTTTTTCCATTGCTACTGGCTGGAATGTAAAAAACAAACGATTATGACTCCACTAATAGAAGGTTTGCTCCTGTCTCCACTGTATTTAGTAGGAGCTGCGTGGATTCAGCACTACTATGAATACCATGGAGCTAGCCCAGGTATGTTCAGTGAAATTCACTTTGACTGAACTGTTTGAACTGGGTTGGATTGGCCCTTGATTACCTGTAAGGATGCCTGAGAGCCTAACTGAATTGTTGGGAATTAAAATTTCTTAGGCTGTCAGCTCTTGTTTGGAAAATGAAATATTACAATCTCAAAAGTATCAAAGCTTAAACTATTAGGAATTAGCTTTCTTTAGCAGAGTGGGAGAGAAAATGTGCCCCAATCTGATGCTGCTTCCCTGAGAACTGAAACTGGCTCAAAATAAACAAGGTAGGCAGTTTCAGGTTACAAACTTTGAAAAATTTCCTAATGGCTTTGCATTTACCTATGCATGGAGGAGCCTACATCCTAACTAGCTAATGAATACATTAGGTAAAAGAAAGAGCTTGAGCCTTTTATTCACCATCTTGATGAGTGGAAAGCTAGAGATTTAGGAGACGAAGAGAGACCAGTGAAACTGTGAAGGAAAGGTCTCTGTGTAATGAGCATCCTGAGGAAGTGTCCTGCATCACATGGGACGTTATCACACAGGGGCAAATCTGCTGGTTAATCCACACAAATCCCAAACAGAAACTGGATTTGTGCCCCGTGTTTTTACACGACGTCGCACAGAAACTGAACAGAAAGTGGACAGAAACTGGTGTTAACCGAGATCTTTTGAAATTCGGTTGTTTGGAGGAAATGCAAATGCGAAATTAAGGTAATTTCACATTTACCGTAATGTGAAAAGCAAATGAGAATTTGGGAGCATTTCCCTGCTTTTCCCATTGTTCCAGCGAGCATTCCTCTATCTGCGCATGTGCAAGAAGCTCATTTCTAAAATTTACGGGCTTTTCTTACTTGTGTGTGAATGTTAAATGTGCTTACTGTTAATTCTCAATTAAGGTAATTACGTGTGAAAGCCATTTGCGGAATCAAGGTTTATTTTCCGTTTATTTTCGGAATGCCTCATTTCCACTTTATTATCGCTTTCTGGCCCACGTGTGATAACGTCCATGGTCTATATTTATTTGGTTACAAAAGGTATTTATGACCATTCAGAGGATAGTAAGATCATATGGGAAGTGAGGGAAAACATAGCGATTTCACATGCAAGAAATGCTGTCCTACCTAAATCACACTTGTTCTAAACAGCAAGAGGAAGAATGCCATAATTTTTCCAGCATGAACTAGATGGGCCCACACTGTGTTTCAACATATATTACATGGCTTCCAGTTTCTTCTGATTACAATTTAAGGTGCTGGGCTTTGCCAATAGCTCTACACGAGCCTGTGTGGTGTAGTGGCTTGAGCATTGGACTATGAATCTGGAGACCAGGGTTCAAATCCAGTTCAGCCATGTAAATCCTGGACAAGCCACACTTTCTCAGCCTTAGAAGACAGCAGTGACAACCCTCCTCTGAAGAAATGTGCCAAGAAAACCCCACAAAAGCCATAGGGTTGCCATAAGTCAGAAATGACTTGAAGGCACACAACAAACAAACAACATGTTTTACATGCCAAAGTTTGGAATTGTGAACTGTAGCCCCCAGCATTTCTCACCATTAGCTATGCTGGCTAAGATGGCTAAATGCAGTCCAGCAATAACTGGAGAGTGACAGATTCCCCTCCCTTGCCTTTCTCTGAGCCAATATGTCTGTATGTCCCCATACAATCCTGTGCTTCCATCTAGAAAAAAATGTGGGATCAATGGTTAATCACTGGAAGTGGTGGCACACGGTTATGAGACAGTAGCCTAAATCCTATTGTTTCACTCCGGTTAAAATAGAGTGATTGGATCAACTGTGGAATGGTGAGTCAATTTACACAGGTAAATCTCATTGATTCAATGAGTCTACTCCACCCAGATTCAATGAGTCTACTCCACCCTGAATAGGATTCAGGCCAGTTTCTCCTGGGATACTTGGCTGGCACTGGTACAGTTATCTATTTTGGTAAGATACAAAGAGATTCTTCTGTCTCCAGAGACTTTATTCAGCTTATTTTATTTTTGCCCTCTTTCTCTCTCTACTGTTTTTATGACTCCACTGTCTTTAGCTGGGGTAGGCACTAAGCAAAATGATATGGACATTTGAAGCTAAGATGTTTCTTGGCCATGGGAAAACAAAACAGCAGGCAAAACTGGAGCCAGCAGGCCAGGCCAAAGGAATTCTAATTTTGGGGGGTTGCAGACTGCCAGAAATAGTGCAAATGGAGTCCACTTTTAGGGTTAGGGTTAGTGCTAGGGAATCATGGGAATTTTTTTTTGAGACATTGAGCCTTCTCTGTCAGAGAGCTCTGGTGCCACAATAAAATACATTTCCCATGATTCCCTAACCCTAACCCTAACCCTAAAAGTGGACTCAATTTGCACTATTTCTGGCAGTCTGCAACCCCCCTTTGTCTCCAACCATTCTACCTCCTTAATTATTTTGTATCAAAACTTCATCATAGTCACTGCAGTACAATCGCTTAAGTACCTCCAGATGAATTTAAGAACAGATTTGCCTTGGTTCAATATTGTATCAGCACAGCCAAATGGACAAAGGGCTAATAGCATAGGGTATGAAAAAAAAATGGCTGCAGTGGCATTGAAGGAAGATGTGGACACTGAAAATCACAGCCATTGATAGGCATGACTGGATGTACTGCCTATCCTTTGTTTTTAGTATTGCTTTAGATATTTTAGTGTAATATTTAATTTTCATTTGCTTTGATCCCTTGGAAATTTCGAATGGAACATTGCCTGAACTTCTCTTAAATTGATAAAACTTGTAAATTAAATGTTACAGAAATGCCAACAACATTGTGTGCTCTAAGCCTAAATAGATCAAATATTCTATTATTATTATTATTATTATTATTATTATTATTATTATTATTATTATTATTATATCAACAGTGGTACTCAAAACAAGTCATGTATTGCTCAATAAAGTGTCAGATCTGGAAACAAGCATAGAAAGGGTGGAAAAACAAGATAAAGATCTCAATGAAAAAGGAAAAGCTTCTAAGCATAACAGGAAGTGGATGTGACACACTGGAACTTAACACTAAGGCTACCTATAAAAAGCTACATTTCTTTCACAATTCCCATGTCATTCAACTCATTTCCGCTTTACTCTGGAGTGTTATAAAACTAGCTGTAGACTAAGATGGAATATTCATACAGGTTTTCCCCCCAACCAAACTGGACATAAGGTATTTTCAAATGCAGAGATTACTTATTTATTCTGTAATAAAATCAATGGATTTGTCAATGACTTACTGAACCCATAACTTTAGCTTATTATGCATGGGGACAATATTGTGTGTGTGTGCCCTTCCCATATATATACTATGGTTTAAGCATTAGCTAATTGCAGGAACTGAAAGTAAGCAACAACTCTGGGGCTTTAAAAGAATTTATACACTCACATCTTAGTTGTCAATATGTGGCTTTAAAACTGCTTTGATGGGGAAAGAACCATGCAATTCAATTCTATATATGTTTACTACAAACTGATAGCAGCTTTAAAGCCAACTATTAACACTAACTACTAAGGCATAATATATTCCAAAGTGCTAGTCCTACACATCAACTAGGTTATCACATTTCATACTAGCTACAGATGACTCAAAAGACAGCCCCATAAAGTATTGCAGTAGTACAAATGTGAATTTAACAGGACATTCATAACTAATCAATCTATTATCTATTGGCTAGGGCCTATGACAACTAACATGATCACCTTCCCCCAATTCCTGCTACATGCACACAATTTTTCCTTGTCAGTCTCTCAGAAAGAATAATGCTTTAGTCCAGATAAATCTGACCATCTTTGGAACAATGTTTGAAAAAAAATACTTAATGAAAGCATGGGCTGCATGTGATCCCACATGCACAACAATTTTGGGGCATCTGAAGCCCATAGAGCCAACCTACAGTATCTCCCTCCCTCCCTCCCTATATATGAAGAACCATGCTCCTGGAAAGGATCAAGAAGCATGTGGTTGTTGCATGCCTTCAAGTAATTTCTGATTTATGTCAACTCTAAGACATAGAGTTGACCCCCGCCCCCGTGATACCAATATCCATGGATGCTCAAGTCCCAATTATATACAATGTCATAGTAAAGTTATGTCCCTTATATAAAATGACAAAATCAAAGTTTGCTTTTTGGAATTCTTTTGGGGAGGGATATTTTCAAGTTGTGGATGGTTGAATCAGTGGATGCAGGGGATCAACTATAGAAAGAGAATTGGGTATCACTGTCAGTCTGGAACTAACCTTGTGCCATCGATTTTCTGCCTTGCCCAAAAAGTGGATCAACCAGAAATCTTTGATTTATAGCAGACATTCTTGGAAAATCTAAAATCTTTGTTGATGTGTGCATTCAAGTCCTTTTCCATTTATGGTAACCCTAAAATGACATTATCATGGGTTTTTCCTGTTAAAGGGGTTTGCTGTTGCCATCCTCTGAGGCTGAGAGAGGGTAACTTGCCCAAGGTCACTCAGTGGTTTTATGTGGTCGAGTGGGGATTCATACCTTTGTCTGCCAGACTCCTGGTCCAGCACTCAAACACTGGTTCATAGTTTTATTTTCTGACAAAATCCTGTTACTTTATGGAATATGTAAGACCCAAAGAAAAGAGCATGGTTGATTGTACCACTTCATAGAGCAGGTTTGGGAAGTTAAGCTGCCCCATGTAAAAATTTCCCACAAGTATAAAATCCCAAACATGCTCAGATTTTCAGAGGAAAAAATCCACTTCTTCTATTCTAACTTTTTACTTCCTGAGACAAGAATTATAAGCATAATGAGTAGTGGCTGGTAGCTTCCATGTGAATAGGGCAGTGAATTCACTTTAGACTTTAGTATCAAATTCAAATTAGCTCTCCAAGGAGATGAATTCTTTGGGGGGGAGGGGATAGAGGTCAGTGCTTTGAACAGTTTTTTGGGAAAGTCAGGCTTTAAGTAAAGTAATACAATATAACACATTGGTCTGAAGCAGGGGTCGGCAACATACGTCTCGTGGACCAGGTCCCGCCCCCCAAGGCCTTTGGACCGACCCCCCCCCGCTGCTGCCGCCACTGACCCCTGCTACCGCCATGCACACCGCGGCTGCCATTTTGTTTTCCAAAATGGCAGCCGCAACTCGTTTGCACGTGCGCAGTACTCCTATCAGGATAGTTGAGGTCATCCATCACTACTGTATTTCTCCTTTCTGAGTGTGTGGTCATC